CCAATCATGCCATGTAGCAGATATGTCACTTTTAATATCTCTATGGATAATGTTCCTGTCATGAAGAAATTGCAAGGCCTTCAGGCATTCCAGGAGCTATCTGTCCTTCCTTCATGATGGTTTTGTCTTACCACATCTGTCAGATCACCTCCATCTAAATACTGACAAGGAAATACAGTTTGATAAAGACTGTTGTTTAAACTGATGAATTGTTGAGTTTCATGAATTTTGTAATTAAAGGAGCTTACAAATATACTTAAATTTTGGCCAAAAACTGAGTCCCATTTTGATGCACTGAAGCAAGTTTCAGATAATGGGAAATTCTGCTACCAGTGCACCTATATCTATTACTTAACTGCACTTTATTACACCACTTATGTTTATAAAATGATTATTTATATACAAATATATATTATATTCAACCATATATATATATATATTAATCAATATGAAATAATAGATGTAATGATACTACACATATTAAATACAACAGTAAGATAATTATCAGGAACAGTTGAAAAGATTATTTACTGTCATCCATCAGGTTAGAGTTAAAGTGACATACAGTATAATACAGCAAAAGAAAGAGGAAGCAAAATATTTATTTAATTAGCAAAATATGTGGGAATAGAAAAAATAGTTTTTGTTTGTTTTAAATTGTCATACTAGTTACAGCACCCAAGAAAACTGGGTCTGTTCATTGTCTCCATTCCAGAAAACTGAATAAAGTTATTAACAGAAACGTTAAATTTTAAATGTTTTATTTCATAAACAAAATTAAAAAGCATAATATTTATGACACTTCTTTAGGGATTAAACCCACTGCTTATTTTAAATGGACATACTGACCTCCATTACAAACCTGAGCTTCTCTCCAAAATAATAGCATATAAGGAGGTTGGCAGTATTCTCATGTCTGTAAAGTTTTATGACTTCAATCTCTGCTGTGATGAACAATTCTTTCTTTGGTCGGTTATTCAGATCCATCATCTTAATGGCCAGCCACAAGTTCAGAATCTTTACACTTTGCCATACCCAATCTTCCTGAAACTCTGTAACAGACGTAAGAAAAGAGCTTATTAATTTCAAAGTTTTGATATACATTTAGGGCCTATCAATGTTTATATTGCGCAGTGGGTTTCTTTCCTGAATAAACTGAATTGTTTGGATAAATGGGTGAACTATTTTGACCTGTGGTTTAGTTTTTATTTGTTTTGGATTGTCAGGCGGTCTTAAAAAAACTATGATAAAAAATATCTCATGATGTTTCAAATGCCAGTGCCAAATAAAATTTAATTACGTTTCTACATCTGACTCATTTTATGCCTGTGAATTATAATTTAAATCTGGGCTGGTAATAAATGATTATTATTATTATTTAGAATAGTAATTACTGACATTGTTTATCTAATTTTTAGTCATTATGATCTATACATACTAGTATGGTAATAGCTATAAACTAGCCTATTAATGTGATTATAGTAATAGAAATATGGACTTAAGCTAATTAAGAATATAAAACTCTACTAGTAGTAAGCCTATTACCAGAACTAGTCATACTGATCGCATAGTATTGAATATGTTTTGTATGTCTGTTCAATTACTGATTACTGTTTACTGTTTTTGACTAGGCCTATAATTATAAAAATAAATTCTATATTATTAACCTACTCTGCATAATATGACATAAATAATTTAGGCCTACCCATAATATTAATAAAATAGATAGCTTAATGAAATTAATTATTAATATATAATTTTATATTACAAATATTATTATTTCTATAAAATTAGACATATTTTCATTATTCCTTATCTTTTTATTATGACTGACCATACATAGTGTTACATATTAGTGTCGTGACATAGTGTCACTACTGTCACATACTCTATACATATATGATATAGGGTGGTTATTCGTCAGTCGGGAGTCGACCATGACCACTTTAATCATCAGAGTTTGTGCTAGTTCTGTCTGTGGGTGCGCAGATGGCTAATGAGGCCAATTCTGGCACAAAATTCTCTTGTGCAGTAGGTGCAGGGGAATGATGGCGCATCTGCGGGAGCAGAGTCAGGCCTGGCTCCTGTGTAAAGTGGAACGCCATGAAGTTCGATCCTTGGCTTTTTCCTCCTACGTGTCTGGGTTAATGTTGAACGCTTTCAGTGAGGCTTTTATGTTGTCTTTAAAGCGTTTTTTCTGCCCGCCAGCAAACCACTTTCCTTGTTCAAGCTCATCATAGAAAATTCTTTTGAGCAGACGGTCATCTGACATTCTCACAACATCACTTCATTAAGATTGTGAAGATGCTGGGGAGACCTGCCCGTTTGAGCACCTCAGTGTCTGGGACCCTGTCCTGCCATTTAATGTTGAGGATTTTTCTGAGTCTTGTTGTATGAAAGTGGTTCAGCATTCTTGCATGGCGTTGGTAGACCATCCATGTTTCACAGGCATAGAGAGGTTAGGGAGAACAGCCGCCTGATATACTTTCAGTTTAGTTTGAGTGCTGATATCTCTCTATGCAGTGAGTGTAGTGCACACATAATCATGATAATGAATACTATTAATAATTAATTAAGTAAGTCTATTCAATCATAATGAGTCATTCATAGTTTCATAGTCATGTGTTATTTTCTGTGTTATAGAGATAATAATATTATTTTTCATAAATGAAAATGGCTTAAATTTCCCCTATAGGGCTTGTCATTTAATGGCGGAAATCTATTAATAGAACTGATGTCATCATTACTCATCATCCGGGTACTCAGCGCGGACAAAATGTCAACACTGTTCAGTATTACTATGTTAGCGAAGTGTCCCTGAAACTAGTTTACAACTCTATTTTACGAAATATTTTACACATTTTTTTTTTACTTCTATTTTCTGTAATGGGACTTCATTGCGCGAACGGCATATGTAACAGTAACTCTAGATACAAGGATCGTCCGAACGATATGCTGAAACACACTATAAGCTGCCATGTTTTCAGCAATATTTGTCCGCCGACCTTCTAAAAATAGAACGCTATGATATGACGTTTTCCGGACTGAGAAATGACAAAGCCTATTAACTCTATTTCTATGCTATGACTCATAACTACTATTAACTATGAGTTTGAGTACTATATGGTAGGTACTTCCCTAAAAATTTCAAAGTTGTTATATTATATATATTAATGATAGTCTGTAATAGACCTATTATTATTATTATTATTTATTTAATGTTTTGTGAATATGGCGCCTTGCCTTTAATTTTATAATATAAATATAATGAATAATGGTCTAGTAGTAAATATGCTTAGTCTAAGTAAGCCTAAATCAATCAGGCTAAATGTCATGAAAATGGACGCAAACTTACCAGAAGTTATCATTATTAATGATTGTTGCCAACTTATCATTTTCATTTAAAATTTATAATTTTAATTCTCAGGGCCGTTCGTCTGACCAATCCTTAGCAGCCGGGGTTCTGGTTGTGAAGTTTCAATAATGCCAAGTTTTCTGGGTATCAGAAATGGTATTTATCCTTCCAAGGCGTGAGAAACTTGACCAGGTCTTGTTTTCAAATTTTTAATATTTTAATGGTAGTGCATTTGCTGCCATTTTGACAAAACAGCCGGAATGTCACGTGAAAAAAAGTACTTCCCGCAATTGGTTTTCGCATAATTTAAAATCTTAAAATTTTATAAAATTTATATTTTTGTCAAAAGATAAAAATCCACAAACACAAATGCTGTGATCATACAAAGATTTTACGGAAAGTTTGATCGCATGAACTGAGTATTACACCAGCTGGGTGTCTGCGCATAGGAATGGATGCAGAAAGATGTGGATAGATCTTAACGGAAAAATGTCGTGAAGCAGGCCTGGGCCCAACTTGGGATGTAGTGCTACTGATGATGATGTAACTTGTAATTTTAACTCAGAAAATGGTTTCCTTCTTTTCTGCTTCCACTAAGGGAAGGGATTTTTTATTTAAACACGCTTTAATATCACTGAAAAGAATATCAGCAACACGTTTGTTTTTGTTTTTGTTTTTTTTTTGGGTTGTTGTTTTTTTGTTGTTTTTTTTGTTTTTTTTTTTTTTTTTTTTTTTTTTTTTTTTGTTTTTTTTTTTTTTTTTTTATTTGGGGGGGGGGCGCCTCACTATGTAGCAGTAAAACCAGCCTAAGACAAGTTACCCAAGTCTGACGAATGTGTGGTGGCATTTGAAGTTCTCTGTGACCCTCGTGAAAATTTGGATAGACGAGGTCCAGCAAAAAGTTTTTTGTCTGCTGTCTCATTTCTCTTTTCTTTGGTAGGCGTACTTTACCGTTGGGGCGTGTGCTACACATGTGATATATTTCTGGAGATTAATGGCTCAAGTTGGGCTGATATACCTGACGGAAGTTTCTTAGACAGCTTTAGCTGGAGATTAAATGCTCTTGACAAATCGAGGACAATGTTGAACGATAAGACTTTTGTTTTTCAGCACGAGAAACATAGTCAAATAGTGGACCATGCAATTTTTTTCTTTTTTTAAACAGCTTTTGTCACCAGAGCAATATTGAATCTCAGTATAAAGAACACGCATTGTCAAGAATAAAAGGGCATGGAGCAATGAAGAGACGCCGGTCTTGCAAGAACGAAACAAGCGGGCGGGTGTGTTTGGTGTTTTGATTCTGAACCCCATATCAGATCAAGAGTCCAATGCTGGCAGCTGAACACCTTGTTTGATGAGTTTGACGGCCTATGCCCCAGACAGAGTAAAAGACATATTCTGACACATCGAGTCAATGCCAAAGAAAAGATGGTCGATATTTGACGTTTTGAGATTCTTTCTGAATAGGTCTTACTAGAATCTCTCACAATCGTCTCAGCAATTATATCTCACGATCTGTGTGGCTGTGGCTTCCTGTAAGAGGAGCAATAATGTTTATAGATGACAAACCGATTCTAAAACTTTAAAAAAAAAATAATAATAATAATAATAACACAACTCCATTCTTTGAAGAGAGAAAATCATACTGAATATTTATTTTATCGAATTACATTTTTTTATAAAACAATTTGAAAGTAGTTTTTATCCCAACATGATCTGAAAACTTCTTTTATGGTTTTGGAGACAAGTCAGGGGGGGGAGGGGGTAAAAGGCTCAAGCAGTGTTGAGATGGGTCGTAATGTTCAAAAGATTCAAGTGGTGTTGAGATGGATCAAGGTGTTCAGAAGATTCCAGTGGTGATGGGGTGGGGAAAAGGCGTTCAGAAGTTTCAAGTGGTGTTGAGGTGGGTCATGATGTTCAGAAGATTCAAGTGGGGTTGAAGTGGGTCAAGGCGTTTAGAAGATTCAAGTGGTGTTGAGGTGGGTTGAGGCGTTCAGAAGATTCAGGTAATGTTGAGGTGCGTCAAGGGATTCAGAAGATTCAGGTGGTGTTGGGTGGGGCAAGGCGTTCAGACTATTAAAGTGATGTTGAGGTGGGTCAATGCGTTCAAAAGGTTCAGGTGATGTTGAGGTGGGTCAAGGCGTTAAAAAGGTTCAGGTGATGTTGAGGTGGGTGAAGGCGTTCAGAAGGTTCAGGTGGTGTTGAGGTGGGTCAAGGGATTCAGAAGATTCAGGTGGTGTTGGGTGGGACAGGGCGTTCAGACTATTAAAGTGATGCTGAGGTGGGTCAAGGCGTTCAGAAGATTCAAGTGGTGTTGTCAGTCATTCAGAAGATTCAAGTGGTGTTGTCAGTCATTCATCTTTTGTTCCATGAGTTCAAACAAATCAATCCAATACCTGAAAGAGAAAGTAGACATCACACAAGGAATTAAAATCACCACCCGCAGACGACGTCAAACTCTCGACGGTAAGTGTTGCATCAATTCAAATAGAAACACATCGTTGTTAAAATAGAGCAGTATTTCTCAAATGGTGGTCCGCAGACCGTCGTCGGTCCGCGAGCCTTACTTTGCCAGTCCGCAACACTTGAATATTTATGGTCGAATAAACAGAACTAGTTTCTATTTCTTGTCGTATTTTCATTTTTCCTGTCTTCTAAAGAAGGCTTTTAGCCGACACGTTCTTCTCTTATTGTCCTGTCTTTGGATTCAAGCTTCTCCATACTTTGATCTACTATTCCCTTCGCACGGCCTGAACGCAGTCCTTCATTTTTTAACGTGAACTAACTTCTTAGTTAAAAACAAACAACCTACTAGACATACTCTTAAACCTACTGGACAAACTCCCACCAACTGGACATTTATCCGACCAACTGGACATACTCTCAACTTACTGGACATCCTCCTAATCTACTCGACATACTCCCAAACCTACTGGACATACTGCCAAACCTACTGGACATACTCACAAACCTACTGGACACATTCCCAAACTGACTGGACATACTCCCAACTTACTGGACACACTCCCAAACATACTGGACATACTCCCAACCTACTGAACACACTCACAAACATACTGGACATACTCCCAACCTACTGAAAACACTCCCAAACATACTGGACATACTCCCAACCTACTGGACACACTCACAAACGTACTGGACATACTCCCAACCTACTGAAAACACTCCCAAACATACTGGACATACTCCCAACCTACTGGACACACTCACAAACGTACTGGACATACTCCCAACCTACTGGACATACTCCCAACCTACTGGACATACTCCCACTGGGTCAGCTGACCATCGCCGTTGCCGTCCATCAGAGAGTAGAAGTGATCAAAGTCGTTCTTCTTCAGCTGGCCGTCGTCGTCCGCGTCGTACAGCGAGAACAGCGCCAACGACACCGCCAGCAAGGTGGGGGAGAATTCGATCACGTGATCGGTGTACTCTTGTCGCGTCGTGACCCCGTCGCTGTCTCCGTCGTACTCCTGGGTGCAGAGGACGCGTGGTAAAATAAAGACAGTGGTCAGGTTTGGGGATAGCTAGGGATTCTATAGGGAATGGACTAAATCAAGACGGTTTGAGGGAAATGTAACCCACCCTTCACCCAGTAAAAAAAATATTTTTAAAAACAGTGCTTCCCGTATTTTTTAACAATGTACTTGATTAAGCTTTACTTTTTCCGCTACAACAAAGTTACTGAACAGCAATATTGACCTAATATTCACAGAAAGGGGTCAACAATCGAAACGGGTCCTATGCGTTCCTATAATGTTTTATTCTTTTTTTTTTTCATATTAAATACGATAGAACAGTAGATGAATGTAGACAAAATTAAATTCAAAGATAATTTAAAATTTTAAAAAATCCTTCTAATTTTAACTCTTTAAGCACAAAAGAAAGAGAGAAAAAAAGACAACAACTAATGCAATTTTTGCAAAACAACAAATGAATATCTTTTTTAAATTTCTTCGTCCATAATTTTCTAAACCAAAAACACAAACATTGATTATTGGAATTTGATTTTTTTTATCGACACTATGAAACGGTACGATGAAGCCTCTCAGAAGGCATACAACAATGGCAGCCGCCATACGTGAACTTCTATCTACTAATCTACTAAAATAAAGTTTTACACCAACTATTTCTGCAAAACAAAATAAAATATTACGCACCAAAGTGCACTTCAAAAAGCTCACTAAGCAGAGTTTTCCTTTTCTTTCATTACGTGAAATCAGCGCCATCTGTTTGCGCTTGTGATTGATTGATTGATATGATATTTATATCGCGCTGGTATCCATGCTCCTTTAGCATGCTCACTGCGCTCTGGTCGTCCGAAATCTATTTAAACAAAAGCAAAGTTTTTAATTTTTTTTTCTTAAATGATTTTTTATCATTTACGATTCCCCTCAAAGATTGAGTGAAACTGTTCCATAATTTTGGCGCTATCGCTTCAAAAGAGCGCACTCCGTAAGACATTTTTCTGTGTTCATCCACGCTAGGAACAATCAGTAAGTAACGTGATGAAGACCGCAGGCTCTTCAATGGTACACGTTTATAAATCAGTTCCTTGAGACATCCCGGTGCTGAGCCATCTATGCAGCTGTATACCAGGTACATAATTTTGTATTTAATGAGCTCACTCAAAGGAACCCAATGGAGATCTCGTAGAACTGGGGTGATGTGGACAGATTTTTTCATCCACGATACAATGCATGCTGCAGTATTTTCTATCTTTTGGAGTCTCTGAATTTGGTTCTGAGGTTAACCCCACAAACAGTGACATTTTAGCATATAGATTTACGCATTTTTTGTTTCTTAAAATTAATATAAATTATCCCAGCTGTGCAAGTGCATGGTTATACAGGACTCACACTGAATGAATTGAAGTTTTCTTTCTTGTCAATGAAGCCATCCATGTCGGCGTCCGCTATCAGGAAGAAGGCCATAGCCGTATCGTTGAAGGGCTTTAATTCCTCGAGGGCAAAGGTCAAGGCCGGGAGTAGAATCAAGACGGCGTAGAGAAGTCCCATTGCGTCATACCTAAAAGGGGGAAAGAGAATTGCAGGCAATTTGTTCCCCTGGGGATATGAGGGAACATATTATCCATGGGCAAATATAATTTTATGATTTTTTTTAAAAAATCCAGACGTCAGAACAGCGATGTGCTGGAACCGAATAGGTCCAGGCGAACCAGTTGTTACATTTTGACTATTCAACCGAACTAGTTGTTAAATTTTGACCATTCAACCGAACCGGTTGTTAAATTTTGACTATTTAACCGAACCGGTACTTGCTGGTTTGGCAGATGTCAGTTTAAACGGGAAATGGATAAGGGTGACATTCGAAGACATAATATTGATGAGGTTGATTATATTAAACATGAATCGATGAGGACTTTTATAGACATGACATGGATGAAGATACAGATCCCCAACAGGAAATGGATGAGGCGGGTGCTCCTGAGCTTGAGCGATCATCCAGGTTCCCATGACAAAAGTAGTCCGAATTAAGTAAGGCGTTACTTCATACATGATGTCTTTTCAATACCTGTCGTAGATTCCTGCTCTCACCTCATGAAACGGTTCAGTACACATGTCAACTGAGTCGATCCAAAGCTATTGGACCGGAGTCTAGAAAACACCCAGACAAGCCCACACAGACACACGCACACACAAACTTCACCATCACCCGGGTGGGTGGGTGGGACGCGTTAACCAGGGCTGGCAACTCATCTAAGAGAAGGCGAAATCTGAAACGCGGCGATGGAGTTCCGTAGGCGGTATGACATGGACGCGATGAAAATTCCGCCAAATCCTGCGGCGCAGAACGCATGAAGAGCAGAGTGAGACAGAAGAAACTGCATCCATCATAGTTCCAGTCTTGCCATGGGATCGATTAGCCAAGGACGAGAGAGTGAGGCTGAGGAATTAAGCAACGCCCCCGCACGATTAAACAAAATACTGCTCAAGCCAATGGTACTACTCAAGTTGATAATTGCCTAGGTCATTTTTTCCGTGTGAATGACAAACAACATAACCTCACAAGCTATTATTATAATGAAATTTTCTGTACTTCATGATTATTTAAGTAATTATGTTTTAATAATTTCAACTTGAATCTAAATATCTGAAATATTTCGCTTTTTTTTTTATTGGTCTTTCCAACTAAAATGTTGTTGGATGGTTTTATTGTTTGTTTGTTTGTTTTTGTGTGTGTTTTTTTTTTTGTTGTTGCATTTTAGCTGTTGCTTTTTTTTCTTTACACTGTACAAAATTCCTGCGTTGTAATGATACAGAAAGTAATGAATAGACCGCGTGTGTAGACACAGTTTTAGAATGCGTCGTTGTTCAATCAACACTGTCGAAGCTGTACAGCATGCAGGTCAGAAACAAGGTTAAAACAGAAGACGCTGTGCTGTGTTCAGAGACTGAATCTTATCTACAGGGGTTTTTGGGTTTTTTTAATGCACAAGATTACACGATGGTTTATCTGGGTCCTAGACAAAAATCTTAAACGACGTGGGTCAGTCGATGAGTCAGTCAGTGAGTCAGTCAGTCAGTCAGTGAGTGAGTCAGTGAGTGAGTCAGTGAGTCAGTCAGTCAGTCAGTCAGTCAGTCAGTCAGACAGTGAGTCAGTCAGTGAGTCAGTCAGTAAGTTATTCAGTGAGTCAGTCAGTGAGTCAGTGAGTGAGTCAGTCAGTCAGTGAGTGAGTCAGTCAGTGAGTCAGTCAGTCAGTCAGTGAGTCAGTCAGTCAGTCAGTCAGTCAGTCAGACAGTATGTCAGTCAGTAAGTCATTCAGTGAGTCAGTGAGTCAGTCAGACAGTCAGTGAGTCAGACAGTGAGTAAGTAAGTGAGTCAGTCTGTAAGTCAGCTATTTGATTGGTGGGTTTTTTTCCCCTATAGTCTCGTAATTCTTAAACTTAAAAATCATCTACCAGCTGAAGTACGACCTGGTAACGGACCAATAGAAAATGAACCCTTAGCTTACGGAGTCAACCCAGTTAATTGACCACTAAGCTTACAGACAACTAGTTGAGAGTGCAACAACAAAGAAAGAGGTGTACTGAAATAAATACTCACAGGTGAATTTGAATACGGACGTCCTGATAAGGCTAGGACTCACTGACCTACTACACAGCTCCGACTGGAATCTATGTTTTCTAACTACCTTCAAGCAAAAACTGCTCTACATTGAAAGTAAATGAAAAAGGTGGGAGGGGGGGGGGGCTTATACCATCGTCATGGTTTAAGTCTTGTTGTCTATTGTTCCAATGATAAGTTAATGAATTAAACATTATTTGTTACACTTTAAGTACGAATATGTAAGTTGGAGGGAGAGATGTAAGGGGGGGTGGGTGGTGTCTTATACCATCGTCATGGTTTAAGTCTTGTTGTCTATTGTTCCAATGATAAGTTAATGAATTAAACATTATTTGTTACACTTTAAGTACGAATATGTAAGTTGGAGGGATAGATGTATGATACAAATGATGACACGTGTGTGATGAGCGGATAGATCTATATAATCATAAGACACTCTGACGTGTGTGAGATGATGAGATAGATATATAATCATAACGACCTTTCCAGCTTTCCGGCTTTGTTGGCGAGTAACAATTTTGTCGTTTGGCTCTGCTTCCTAATGGGGAAACAGGTATGTAACTGGCAGTAAATTCCTGAGTGTAAATGGTTTTTTTTTTTTTTTTTTTTTTTTGGGGGGGGGGGGTTTTCTGGGTTCCAGGTCAATGGGATTTCATTTTATGATTGATGTATCAGTGTGGACAGTTCCGGGTTGATCAGGTCACGGTGACATGTTTGCCCGCCATTAGGAGAGCCGGTGGGGGTGGGTAGTCAGCCAGAACATATAGTTCCATAGTGTTGTCAATAACGATATTCAGTAATTTTCTCTAATAGTGTAAACATAACCTCGCCTCATCATTGAATTATACGAAGAGGTCTAACAAGGGCCGTAGGAAAAAGATGGCGGACGGGGTGGTTGGGGGGGGGGCGGTCCGTCAAAGGGCGTTTTTTTTTCTTTATATTGAGGGAATGCAATGTTGGTCCACTTAAGAGTTGTTTATTTTTCATGGATGGGGGCGGGCAAAAGCTTTGCCCGCCCAACCCCCCCCCCCCCCCGTGGGGCCCCCCCCCCCCCCCCCCCCCCCCCTTTTGGTCTAACCTTTGCTAGGGTAGAGCTCGAAAATCTCTTTGGTTCTATTGTGCCGAAGCCATCATCATCATCAAAAGCGCTACAGCCCACGTAGGGCCCTGGCCTGCTCCACCACATCCTTCCATTCGGATCGATCCATGGCTTTCCGCCTACCATGCGGGCTTCGCGCATTGTGCCGAAGTCGGTTGTCTAAATCCACCAGAATGCCAAAAGACCATCACTATATCTTATAACACATGTATTTGTATTGTCAATTTCAAAAAAAAAATTAAATCAATGGTCGTAACAGTTCGTAACGCATTCCTGCAGTCACTTCCGGAAGTTGATACGTTTCCTAACAGCGAGCTGTTATACGTTGTTGTTTTTTTCTAAATAGAAGAACATACTTTTTTTTTTTTTTAAGTTCCTGTCCCTCGTTCAAGAAATATAAGAACAAGGTATGCTGAGCTTGAATTCATAGACAGGTCAAACGATTTATAAGAGTTATTTAATGTGTTTCTGTCCGCGCATTGCATGTTGCTGGTCAGAATGTTAGCACACTGTGTTAGTGCAAGAGGAGTCAAAAGTTGGCATCTCTTCACCTCTCATTTTTCTCTTAATCCGCATCATTGTACATGGTGTTCAATTTAAAAAAAAAACAAAAAAACACCAACTCATCGGTGTTCAATAACAACTACACCAACTCAAAGACAGAGAGAGCTTATAGCAACTATTGCTGATACAGAAAATGCTTCAATTTTAAGTGTTGAATAGTTAGATAAGGATGGCCGTATATCAGTCCCGCAAGATGAAAATGATAAATCAGCTGCTATAGACTACGTCCATCAGCGGCGTGATTTCAAGGTTTTTTTTAGGGGAAAGTGGGGGGTGGGGGAAAAATAAAAACGTGGTCGGCTTGTTAAGTTGTTTATTACTGGAGTACATAGAAATTTAAATTAAACCAGCAAAATCAGGGAATGGCGCAAATGCCCCCCCCCCCCTCTGCCCTACCCAAATGATGTCCCTGATGCCCATTGTTACGATATAGCAACTACTGGCTACTCCATGGGAAGATAACAGCAGCTAGAAACTATACTATAATAATTGTCAGCTTAAGTTAGAATAATCAGATTTATACTTTCACAAACAATAATATTTAGTCTTTAACAACCTTTCAATTGATTCTGCATCATAAATTTTAAGTGTACAAACTTTTTAACTTGTTGAATAACAAGGTAAAGATTCAATAAAATGATCTTCCTACAATTTTGTGTTATTAAAAATACATCAGCAAAAAGTAAAATGTATTTAAAAAATTTATTTATAATATAATTCATTTTCTTTTTTTTTCTTCTTTTTTTTGGGGGGGGGGGGAACGGGCGGGCGGGCGGGGGGGGGGTATAAAATGTTGAAATAATTAAATAGGGGGGT